TAAAACTAATGTAAGCTAAGGAGTTTTATAAACTAACAGAGAATTACATTTTCTATCAGTGTTATTTTTGTTCTTTTTTTTTTTACTTTCCCTTAAATGTCCCCTTTTAAATTTTAATTATGCTATAAAGTAGGGAAGGCAAAAACAATTAAATTCTGTCAATGGGATTCTCCAGGAGAGGTGAGGAGGCAAAGAAGAATAGGGTGGTGAAGAAACAATCACAGGGGATGGCCACAGCCAGAGAAGTCCCGATGCCCTGGGGAGCTTTTCTCCTGATGAGTTGAGGCCGCAGTTGGCACATCATAACCTTTTCCTTCTCAACACCAGAGAAACAGGAGACTGTCCCTAAATGATCAAGCTGTAACTAATTGATTTTCAGCTAATCTAAGCCTCCAGCTATGAAGAAACAAGGACCAAAGGCAGACCTCGGGAAGGGGTGGGGGCGTAGGGAGAGGGGTGCCAAGAAAGCCTGGAGGTAGAGAGACCAGAGAACTAAAGAGCAAACAGGAAAGGCCAAATAATGTGAGGGGAGGGGGTGAAGAGAGAGGGAGGCAATATTGAAAAAAATGGAAGAATAAAAGGGGGAGCTGGAGGTGGCGGGTGAGACCTTCCCAAGCCCTTTGGGTTCATGTATCATACCATCTCATTTCCAGCTGTTACTTCTTATTCAACTTTTAAATCGGGCTATTTGTGAAGGACCATTAAGATGAGAAAAAGCTGTTAATTAAACCATATGATTACACCTATCTCTTCGGCCAGGCCCATCATTTGACAATGAACAAGAATCCCTTGGGTCACATTTATGGATGCCAAAGGTTGTTGAAGAATAGAGCAAGGAGATTTCCACCCTCAGCAACTTCTTTTCTCTTCAAAAGTTAAAGGTGTTCAAGAATTACTGTTTTACCCGTTGTTAGTATCTGTTATTCCAGGTATAACCCATGAATATGTACTATAATGGTTTTAGATCATCTTTCTTCCTTTCCCGTCACCCCCCCCAAAAAAAAATCTTGTGTTTATGGGTATGTTTATGTTACACAAGTGTTAATAACCCTGTTGGAGAGACTACATAGATAGGCATCTTTAGGTAGATCTGTGCATAAATTCCTGTCCACTGGGCACTTGAGTCAGCCAAAAGCAACAATAAATATCAATGATGTCTTTCAAACCTGTCAACCGAGAACATAAGCATTTTTTCTTCCAGTACTAGGTCCGTTTAATGATTTGGGGAAGTAAAGGGAGAAGGGTTTAATTTAAAGTTCTAAAAGTATTTTTTTTCTGCATCGTATCATAACATGCTAAATATGTTATAAAATTTTAAAAAATCAAGTATCATATTTATGTGCTTTCATGCTTTTGAATTAATATATGTTCTTAAAATATGCCTAAAGTTTTTGACTCCAATCCAACCGATGAGAAATCATTAAAAAACTCCAAATTCTTCTTTATCGGAGAAATACACTTAGACAGGGAATAATACAGAAGTAAATTTCCCTTGTTTATTGCTTTTTGTAATTTCCTTCAAATCATCTACAATAAAACATCATTTTAATTGTACCCTTGCCAAATTTCCAAATAAAATTGCATTCTAAATTTAAAGATCTTAGAAATACACTATGTGTTTATCTTAATGTAAACAGAAGATATAATTAAAAATTATAAGCAAGTTACCTAACCTTCCCTTTTATTGGCATAGATATCTGATATATAAACTATCCTTAACATTTTTGAAAGAGAGATGGTTAAAAAAGAAAAGTTTTATCGAAAAGATATTTTTGTTCTTAACAAAATAACATGGTGTTGACTAAGTAAAGATGCCTGTGATAGTCACCAGTTTCAGGCACAAAGCAGAAGAGTAAACCTATAAAATCTGGACAGTAGGAGACTGACAAAAGTTGGCCTAAAAATAGTGAATCCAATACAGTGAGAAGTTTCTCTTCACACAGCAATTAATATTTATCTCTTCAAAGTGAGCAAATCACTAAGACAACATAAGGGTCAAAATAATGTGTTTGTGTTCCTATTTACATGTTTACATTGACCTTAAGGCAATTTTTTCACATTTTATTTTTATTTTTTAGGAAGTTTTAATCTATTTTTCACTTAGGAACAAACAAATTTAATCTTATCTGAAATTTTAAAAAACGGTTCATTGGTTAAATATGATACAGAGTTTAAATTCATTTTAATTGTTCTGAGCAAAACTAACGTTAGAAAAAATGTCTTCCTGAATGACAAGATAATTGTAGAAAATCCATTACTTGACTTGAAAATGACACACAAGCATTAATAAAAAGAATACTGCTACATCCTTTTAATGTAATTCACCTTATTATGGGGACTGTCAACAGATTCTTTTCACATATTTAAACATCCAAGTGACTTCCTCAATACAAATCCCTTGCCTATTGCTAATTTAGTAATTTGCCTTTAGCCCCCACGATGCACATATCTTTTAAGACACATAAATAAATAAATAAATAAATAAATAAATAAATAAATAAAATCCCCCTGAGTCTTCTAAGAACATGATAAAAGTGGCAGATACTATTTGTTAATGAACGTTACATTAAGAACCACTGAAATTCTTAATGCAGTTAATCATGATATTACACTTTTCCCTCTTCTAAGTATGCTTTCAGCTATTGTAGTATGGAAGAAATACAGAAGTTAAAGCGTTTTACTAGGTAGTGATTGGTTATAAGCTTTGGATATGTTAGAAAGCATGGTCTAAGGATAAAATAAAATTATGGTTCAATTTTCCTCAGAGACTACGAAGAAATACTCAGTATCAGAATCAATTTGTCAGTAATTTCACGTGAGACATTTAGTTTGGAATTATTAAATAAAAAAACCAATATGGTTTATGATTGAAGATAAATCACTACTCAGCAGTTGAAACATGATAAAAATAAATATTTCCTGAAGGTTTTATCTGATATTATTCCTCCAGAGTAAAATGAATAATTGTGTTTCACGATATAGTTAGCAAGCTGCTTTGTTGTTATATCCAAACAATACAACCAAAATTTCATTGATTTAAAAAATGTAAGTATTCTTTAATGATAAAATGGTCCAAGAAGTCACGAATAAAACTGTTTATTATTGTTTTGGTTTTCTTATTCTGTGTAAATGTATAAAAAGTAATGGCACATTCATTCCAAAATCATGCTTAATTCTTTTCTAAAATATATTTATTTTGTGAATGATCAAAATATTTGATTGCAATAAAATATATTTTAGAACAGATTCATGACTGAGCTATTGTTTTTTTAAGTACATAACACATTCCTCCCTGTCAGATTTTACGTGACCTGAACTAATTTTTTCAATGATTTTATTTTATGAATATGTAAATCATGCTGGTTGAAATTTTTCTATTAAAATATTAAAACTCCTTTAAATTATTGACTAATGCTTTAGAAATTGCAACAAAGTAAAATATACCATGAGCCACAGTGCATTTACCACTTATACTAGGAAAAAGCAATCAAACTAATTTAGAATTAAGCCATACTTAATGGCTTGAAAGTTCCTAACGAAACCTGTTAATTATATGTAGAAGAAAAGGCCTCCAGAACACCTGATTAGGGCAACCAATGATGACTTACTAAAACTTCATAATGAGAGCTTTGTCTCTAGTAACATGAAACATGATTTATTAAGCACCTTATCCTTCATGGTAGAATTGCTAAGAGCAAATGAGCAGAGCATTTTAAGCAACATGTATTATAAAAACATTCATGTATTTAAATTTGTTGCTATCTGACTTTTCAAAGACTATTTTCTTTGAGATATATGAGGAAGGTTTTAATTAAGTCTAACAAAACATGTCAATTTTATGTCAAAGCAGACTGCAGTTTTCAAAGTTTTGAAAGTTTTTACATTAAAATGGTTCTAATTTTATCAAGTTGATTCAATTTGTTCATGAAATTGTATCTTGAAAAATAAATATATCCTATGATATTTTGAATGTCTGAAGATGGTAAATTTTCATCTTCAGACTCGAGTAAAACATTTTTTTTAATTAAAGCCCGTTTAAAATCACTTTGAAGTGTTACCTCTTTAATATTTTTGAGACATAAAATATTGGACACTAATTTACCATTTGATATGGTCACTATTTAAAAACTACCATGAAAGTACCAGCATTGGGAAAAATATAATTTAAAAAAGTATTCTCTAGTAATGTTGCTAATTAAAGAATTTTTCAATTCATTTTTCATCTTAAAGGAAAATTTTGCATAGGTAAAGACCACATAGCATGTTTTATATTTCTCTTGCTTCTGGAAATAATCAAATGGGAAGGATATCATTTCATCATTAAGAAGTTAAGAAATGTTAGTTTGAAGCTTCTTTTCCAAAATATTTTTCATAGCATTTCAGAATCTCTCCCTGAAAATCTTTGATAGTAATCTCTTACAATAGTATTTGATCTTAGTTAATTGCATGTTAATATTTTCACAGTAGTTATCTCCCCCAAATGAGAGTTTTTAGGTGGCATACCTATGTATATTTATATGTTTGCTAAATTGCTAACAAAAAATGTTTTAGAGTGTCACTCTTACTTTTCAGTCTGTAAATGCTTGTTTCTTTTTTATTTGTATTAATACCTTTGTGCCCATAGCATAGCTATCCTCATAAATTTTCCTTTTTTGTAGACTACTGCCTGTTTATTCATACATTAAAGCAAGGTTGAAATTTTAACAAGAGCTAAAAAGACCCAAGTCTGCTCAACCATAAGTGTTTAATTTTAGTTTTTCATATTTAAAAAATCATGTATATATAATATATACACATACATACATGTGGTGTGTGTGTATGACTTTGTTGCCTAAAGCAAAATCTTACATTGCTTCAGTGAGAGAAAGGAAACAGAAGCTGGAGGAGAGTTATAGAAAATGACTCTATATAAACATGACCACCTACCAGGCAGCCACTTTACTATTAGTAAAACTTCCACTTTGTAATAGCAGAGTTTAACAAATAAAAGAACAACATACCTAAATTGACAAAGCTCATGACCATGTCAGCATCATTCAGAAAGTTGGTATCATGTAGGCTGGCTAGAGGAGGGCTCTGGGTGGTCAGAGGAGTCGTTCGAGATAACTGTATGCGACGAGGGTACCCATTGGGAGAAGCTGGGTATCCTTTTCTTGCCCCTCTGGCCTCTCCTGCCAAGGATGCCCTCACTGAGTATTCCGATTCTTCAGGATTTTCTTCATTGGCCATAGCATTGTATAGGTCCAGCATAAAGAGAGGTGCAGAGGAAGCTTGTTTTCCAGGTGAAAATGGTCTGGGTCTATGAGGCAAACCCAAGATAGAGAGAATTTCCCTCTGTATTTCCCGTCTTTCGTGGTTCCGTAGTCTTCTATAAATAAAACTGGAGTGGACATGATTGTCTCCCAAACCTCCTTTTGCATAACCCACTAGAACCCAGCAGCTCCAGAGGAAACCCACAATACTCCTAAGTAGAAATACAGTCAGATGCATTTTTGTCCAAAAGCAAAAGTTGATATTTTTAGTCCTTCTTGTCCTCTTAAAAAAAATGTAAAAGTTCCTAGGAGGTACGCTTTCCCAGTAGCTGAAAAAACAAATTTACCTATTCTTCATGACAGTGACATTTCTGAACATAACATCCTCACGGATTTTCCTGTCCTATTTTAAATATTTTGGAATATGTCAAGAGTAGTTATCTCTAAGAAAGCTGAAACTTGGATTTCTAATTATCCACAGTTGTTAAGAGTTTTTGCTGCATTGATGTAGCAGAAGACGGCTATTATTATTTGATCAGATGACCTATGCATTCCTATATAAATTTATGATAATCAGGCCTTTGGTATTTGGATTAACGCAAGTTGATCTTCTGATAAACTGTAGTTCCCAAAGTTATCTTCACTTGCTCTTGAGTTCTTCTCAACCCTTGAGCTCTTTCCAAGACAAATCCTGATTTCTGAATCACAGATCTATGCTGATCTGCACCTTGGTGTTGGAATATAGATTTGTCCGGCAGCTTGGTGATAACTTTAACATCTTTTGTGTCGTCTTAGTGTAAAGTAACACTCAAGGTTGTACTATTCAAGTAAATGTGTTTCCCTGAATTTACTTGAAAACCTTCCTGTAAGTCCATTCAATCCCTTTCTCCTTCTAACTGTTAATTCCACCTCCAGCAGGCACAAATATACCAGCCCTCTTCAAGGGAGATCTAAAGAGTAATGTAAGCACAACCCTGCTGGGAAAGAAGAGGCTTCTCATTGTAATTTGAAACTGGTAAAGCAAAAAGAACTTAACCCTTTTGCTACCAGAAAAGCCTTCATTTTCACAATTTTATAGCCACGCATCTAACATAGCACAGTGATATGTGGGGCATTTAAGTTCTGGGGGTGGGGGGGGGAGCAAGTTTTCAAGCAGCAGGCTGAAATTTTTTGCCACCAATTTTATATAGTACTCTCTTAGATCTCTCTTTTCATAGTACACGTTTAATACACTTCTATATTAAGTCTCAGGTTGTGGCTAAATTAGCATACATCTCAGTTATATATTTCAGGTTATTTCTAGCCTTTATGAGTTATTGAAGTTTATGTCTTAAAAAATAAAAGGAAGAGTTGTAAATTGAGGTTATTTTGTTGTTTCTTAATGACAGCCAGATCTTTTTAGAATAAAATACAGTAGAGAATTAATCACCAGTAAATATATTCTAGCTCCCAAAGCAGTAGTTATAGTAATTCAATAATGGTGGGGAGATAGCCCAGCTCTAATGATTTTAAGTACAAAAATTTTAAACAGAAAAATATATTTATATTTCTCTTATTAAGTCAGTTACAGTTGACATACGAAGACCCTAGAATACAGTGTCATGATTCTTTTAAGTCATTTCAGTTGAAATGTAAACACACTTACAAATTAGGTTTTTCCCATAAGTTATACTCAGTACTTTGGTTTGTTTTAACCCATGCAAATAAACACAAGTCAAATATTCTTTATGACTACATGCAGATTGAAATTTGTGTTTTCAAAATTTGATGGGCATAATGGGGAAAGTGCACACCTTTCTAAAATACCATACTTAATCCAAGGAAATGAGCAAAGTATGTGTTTATCCTTAATGTTTAATGCCTTTAAAATTTGGAAGTCTACAATGTTTTTGTGCAGTTATAATTTTCCTTACAAGCTCTCACTTAACCTTAGGGCTCACAGTACTTTCATTGTCTGGGATATTATTCTGATACCAGTGTAGATTTATCGAGCAAATTCTAGAACTATTATGAAATTTTAATGTTTTTCTTTTACTCTACCTAGAGGGGCCTGGTTTCTTGTTTAATTTCTTTTTAAATATTTCCTCACAGTGTCTAAAGCATAGTCATATTTTTCACAAGTCTTCAGTTTATTGGTGAAGGCAAGATACTGAAAGGACTTGCAGAATTTTATTGTATGCCTCATTTTTCTCACACAAACTCACTGCCCTGAACTTGATAATTCTGTTTAATGTTTGCCCTGCTGAACTTTCTTTATTGACAGTCATGTAGGATGTACACACAGTAGCAGACCCAAGTACTGACATACGTGGAACACCTCTATAAAAGACACATCATATAAACAGGTTATAAGTCAGTGAAAGAATACTGTTTCAATAAGAAATGGATTAAACCACTCAAATTCTTGAAATTGTTTATTTCATATCCAAACCAAAGGAAGAATGCTTTGGTCATTGCTGTGGATTCAAATCAAGCACTTTGAGACCAAAAAACAAAACAAAACAAAAACAAACAAAAAAAAATCTTTTTCTCTTCATTTACAAAACCAATCCCAGATAAAGTCTACTATAGTTGTTGTCTACATTTTAAAATAAATTATCAAGTTCTGGATATGCTTCATGTCTCTAGAGTACAGCATAAAGTTATAAGTAAAAATTGGCCACACTAGAGGAAGAACAACTTTTATTATCTTCCACACGTGCTGACTTTTTTTCTTTAAGATACAAGTGAAAAATAAAAATGAGTCTAGGTGTCACTAGTCTCAAAAACTCATTTTCTCAGAGTGTGATTTATAATATCAATCAGTGTCATTGTAATTTAACTGCTTAACCAGGCATGTAGCCTACCTGTACATTGGAAATCAGTTGCCAATATTTCTGGACAGAATTTTTAGTATCTACCCTCCCCCACCTTCCCTTCCAACTCAGACTAGATTTGGCAAACATTCATTTTTCAAAAGGATCAACATGTGCAATGAGAGGGAAAAAAAATAAAGAAGCAAAAAACTTGCCAGGAATAAAGGGGAAATGCTAACCACCAAATGAAAAGTCAGATTCATATTCAATTAAATGCATTTTACTACATCATTTGGATTCCCAGGTAGATTTTTATTTATTTACATGAGAGCAATTTGAAAGATAAAGTATCTGCAACTGCAAAGTATAAACATTTTAAATTTCAGAGCATGTATTTAAGAGTTGTATAAGTCTTTGAACATACTGAATAAATATATGCTGAGAAAGCAGTTGGGACTGGAGAAAGACCAGGGCATCACAAGAGTTGTCCTAAAGATAATTACATTTCAAGAAGAGGAGCCTTCTTAAAAACCTACCTCTCATAATATAATATTTGTCTGAGGTATATACTAATGGAAGTGACCTTCTGGTCGAGTACAGATACAGTTGAATCCAGATAAGAAGTATTTCTTCACTGCCATTCTTTCTGTTCATTTTCTCTTTCCTTCATGAAAATTTGATGCATTTCATCTGTGAATATGTAAACCAACTACATCCAGTAGACAGACTTTCAAAAGAAACTCGCTCAAAAGAAAGCTAAAGTATTTGTAAATCTGTTTTGTCTGGAAGGGTCTTTCACTTCTGTTTCACTCCTGTTTTTGTTGTTGTCTTCTCCTTGAAACAAAAATTCCTAAGTGAAAGGTATGACTGCAGTGAAAGATACCTTAATATACATGATATCTGCATTCTTAAATTATCTCTCAAGTTTGGAAAATATTCCAAAATAATTTTAATGTGATTCTAAAATTCTTAAGAAGCTATCAACTGGAGGGAGTCAGGGGAAAGGTTGGAAAGGAGATCACTGAGGAGATTGGAAAGGCTGGCAGCAATGGGAGAATTCGGGGAAAACATAGCCTTCTGGAATCTTCTTGGTGAATACATGCACAAGTACCGAACAGAGCAGCATCTGTAATATTAAATTGCCTTCAACTCACTCTTTTTGAGCCCAAAACATAGCACATATACAAGAATATGGCACACTTAGCAGTGGTCCAAAGGAAGGCTGAGTGGTGCTATCCCACCACCATCTGCCTTAGATTTGTCTGCAGTACCTGAAAGGGGTCGCAAACATGACAGCCTACACTTTTCCCTCTATCTAATTAATATTTGTTAAGGAAAACTTGGAAGTGAATAATTAAATACGGTCACCAAAAATTTTTAATGTCTGTTATTATTTTTAATGAATGGTGACATTAGTGAATATTTTTAAGTTAAGACAGAATTTTTCAATATGCTTTGCATTATTACACATTCCTAAGATAGTTTTATATCATTTCATGAGAGAAGGTTTTCTAATAGTTACATAGGGAGAATAAGCCAACATTTAATCATTACGAATCAAACACTATTAATGAAATACCTAAGGACTATATCTGACAAATAGACTCCAGTGAACTGCCTTGAGAACAATTGGTCAAATTATGAATTGACATTATATTTTAATAATATGTCATAATATTATGACATAATATTTTAAATAGTTGGGTATGCTATGCAGTTAACCATGTAAGAATATCTTCATTGGTAAAGCAACTTATAATGTCAAAACTCATTTGCAATAGCCCACCGTTTGGAATTATTTATTCCTTCAGCAAAAACTTATTAAATGCCTACTAAGTGCTATATACTTTAGGTACAACAAAAACTTCAAACAAGTTTCTTGTCCCCACAGAGTTTATAATCATATACTATCATTTCAATTGATCTAAGGGCATCAAATTATTCAAATATGGTTATTAATTGAGATATTTCTACTTCTTGAGAAATGAGCTAGAATGTAAGCTACATAAAACTAGGAGCTTATTTTATTTTGTTCATCACTGTCAAACCGTACATATTAGCAGCTCAATTAATACTGGTCACACAATCTATTTTTTAACAATGATGAACAATATTCCAGAGGATTTGTTTGTTTGTTTGTTTTTGTTTATTTATTTGTTTGTTTTTAAGACAGTACTCTCTGGAAGCATAGGACTAAGGATTCATTAGGCATACTAGTTGACCAATCACTTTATCTCTTAGTGATTAGGCTCTTCATTTCATGAAGTAGTTACTACTTTCATGAAGAAATTTGCTTATTATATGCCTCATCCCAGATGTAAATTGAAGTACAAACTTCTGTCAATACTAGATAATCATAATGACTTAGAAGGAAAAGCATCACACAATGAATTACATTAGTAATTGCAGAATACCTTGGTCTATCATTACAGGGAGAGCTGGT